GATCAAGATAGATGGAGAAGTAAGAGTCTTCCCAGACAAAGAAAAACTCAAAGAATACATTAGAAGAAACCCAGCCCTATAAACATATCTGCTACTGAAAGTCGACTGACATTTAAATACAGTATTATATATATATATATTTTTTAAGCGCAGGGTTTGACCCCCAGTAAGCAAAAAATAAATGTTGGTACCATCGTGACTAACAGACCAGTAACTTCTCCCTAGCCAAGCCCTCCCATGTCTTCCTTGTGATGGGCCCAGGGTGGTTGGCCCCCATCCTCACCTGAGGATGCTAGCTCTGCTTTGCCCCAGAGCCACTCGGCCCACCTGCCCTTGCCCTCAGAAAGGCTGCTTCGGGTGGTCTTTGACAATCCCCTCTGGTCCTGTGGGCAGTGGCACAAGTGAGAGGTGTAGAGATACAGGAGACATCGCCTTTGCTGGAAGGCCAGGGTGTACAACCAGCATTGGGGTAAGCTAGTCTTGGCCAATCACTCCCTTTACGAGGAAAGATGGCCCTCAGCAGAGGTCCTGGGTGGGCTTGCCTTCATCCATTCACCTATGCAGGGACTAGTCAGGTTTCCAAGGATGGATTCACAAAGGCAAACAAGGTGAAGGGAAATCCCTGCTTGTGGTTGTTGGTCCATGTGGGAAAGAACACAAAACATTCCAGAGAGCAGATTCAACATCAGTATTTATTCGGACAGAAAAGGAAGGAGGAAAATAAAAGCAGAGTCAAGAAAACCCCAGCAGCCCCAAGGGGTGTGCTTACACTCCGGGGTGAGGATCGGCAGCCCGGCTCAGTTCTGCTTCTGGAGGTCCCAGCCCTCCCAGCGCTGGCAAGACTGGTTCTGCCCACCTCTACAAATGGGGAGGAAGGCCCTTGGAGGAGGGGCATCGATGTTTTAAGCTGTTTGGTTTAAATGATTTAAATGAGCTACTAAAATAAAGCAGCATGTAGATTTTCCATGGATCCCCAAAGCCACCTTTGGCATGTGCACAGGTGATGAGCTCAGAAGGCATCCAGTCCGTGGTGTGACGGCAAATGAGAGAAGAAGACTGGTCCCGGTTTAATGTGGTCGCTGCCGGAAAAGCCCTTACTGGAAAAGAGCAAGAAAATAATGTTAAGATGGTGGTGGTGGTGGAGGAGGAGAAGAAGTCAAAGATGAAGAAAGAGAAACAGCAGCCAGCACTTCCGATGGATGTACCAGGGCAGAACTCTCCATGTTCCCACGTGCTGAGAGGCTAACCCTCAGAACAACCGTGTGCGGGCGGACCGTCACAGCTGAGCAGACTGAGACAGAGAAGTTATTGGCACCCACCTCTGGCCACTGCCTGCTGCCTTCGTGTTCACAGGATCATCCTGCAACAAGCCCTCTCTGTGTGTCCTGTGCTTTACAGGACCCAGGTCCCCTGACCCTCACCAGCAAGGCTTATCACCCTGGGAACCAAAGGTCTGGGTGTGGTCATAGGGTTCATTGAACCCAGAGGCCCTTCCCTGACCGGACCTGTGCCATGGTGATAAGCACTCCCCCTATGGAGCTTTCTACCATGTGGTGCATGGGCACCAGAATTGCCAGCATCACCTCATTGTACAGATGCAGAAAGGGGAGCTTGAGAGGTTCGGCAACTTGCCCAAGACCACAGAGCTGGAACAAAGAGCCAGGGCTAGCCCTGCCCCATTCCAGGGTCTGGGTCCTAGCCACCACCCTGTGGTGGTTTCCCGAGAGGAGTCAGCAGGTGCCAGGGGATGAAGCTCCTGGTGCCGATGGAAAGACGGCAGCCCCAGCACAGTGGGTCACTGGCACAGACCAGGCTTCACACCGGAGGCTGGAAGGGAGAGATGTGGGCGGGCCCATCCTCTGGAAAACACAGCTCTCTCTTTCCTCCTCGTAGATGCTCCTCCGTTGGTTCAAGCCCTGCTGACTGGATTCCGCGGCCTCAGGATCCATCCAGGGCGTAGAATGTGGCGTGGTCAGAGACCGGCCTGCCGGCCTGTAGCCTCATCATGCTCAGTTAGCGCGATATAAAAGGAGGTGAAGGACACACCCCCTCTGAGGATCAGGCGTGAAAATGTATTTCCAAGAGCAGTCCTCGAAAGACAGGCTCCAGTGTCCATCCAGAGAGGCACAAAGCAAACATTGAGCATCACAAAGGTGGAAGCCGTGTCTCTTAGCCGGTTACATCCTGTCCTGCCTGGGCCATACACGTCCCAGAGGAGGAGCGAAATGCGCTGGGCCTTAGGCCAAAGGAGCCTTGGAGAGAGAGGAGAAGGAAACAGAGACAGACAGGAAGGGAAGGGTGTGCAGCCTCGTCCGGGGGCAAAGGTGAGAGAGGCAGGGACAGCAGAGCATGGACAGGAGGGAAGGAGCATGCGAGGGCTGGGCCAACCCCAGCCATGCTCTCCACGACCCTGAGCCCAAGCACACGCGGCCTCACCACCACCCCCGTGACCCAGAGGGCCTGGGATAAGGGAACATACCGAGCAAGTGGGGGTGCAGCGCCTCACACAGGGTGCACCAGATTCCTGTCGCAGTGCGGCTTGCAGTGAGGATTCAGCCAGTGCTCCAGGGTCTGCTCCTCTGCGCGGTGCTCCAGGTGGAGCAGGTAGTGCATGTACTCCTGCCAAAACACACCCACAAGAGAGGGCTTCCGTCACAATGGCTCCAGCTCCCATCAGGTGTCAGGTGCCTCAGCTCGCCAGCGGGCGGATGCTCCCTTCTAGACTGAGTCATTGGGAGTGGAGATCCTTTCTCATTGCAAGGATGCAGCGGTCACATGTTGGGCTGCTAAGGCCCCAAGGTCAGCTGTTCGAAACCACCAGCCAATCTCAGAGAGAAAGAGGAGGCTTTCGAGTCCCATAAAGAGTTACAGGCTCAGAAATCCAAATGGGGCCATTCTACCCTGTGCTCTGGGGTCGCCATAGGACTCAATGGCCATGAGCTGGTTTGCTTATTTGCTTTATGTCACTGAGAGGGCTGCGTCGTGGCACCAATGGATACCCACTTGTCCATGGGCTGTGGAGCTCGCCCTGGGAGAAGCCTCATTTCATGAGGGGCACCCCTGCAGAACATGCAGGGCACAAATCATAGGAACAGATTGATTAAAGCAAGGACGACGACAGCTGTGTTAAGTAGGTTCCAACTCAGGGGAAGCCATGTGTCTCGGAGCAGAGCTGTGCTCCCAACCCAGGGGGGCGCCGACAGTGGCCTGTGGGGGTGCCCTGCCAGCCACCTCTGGCACCGCGAGTGTGTGATCATTTCCGCCACATGGATTCCATACAAACACCTTTAGGGCACAACTCCAAAGAACAACAGCAGTTTGTTACCGAGGGAAGTGGCCTTTTACCTCAGGAACAAAGCAGACACCACCAGCAACAGGTGTGGCAAGATTCAGTCATCTGGACATGGAAAGATATCCTCAAATCCTGAAACCAAGGAGCCCCGGGATGCCTTTGATGAGCTTTGAACAAATGGTCCGGGACAGAAGGTTACATGTTTCCAACGAGTCCTCTAGCTGTTGTTTGTTGTTGTTGCTGTTGTTGTCATCGTCTTATTTGTTAGGTGCCATTGAGTGGGAGCCGACTCTTAGTGACCTCATGCAGGATAGAATGAAACACTGCCTGGTCCCGCGCCATCCTTAAAATTGGTCCTGTGCATCCCCTTACAGAAGGGTCACGCGGAGTTGATGAGCCAGTCAGGGTGCAGTATAGCACCGATGAAACATACAACTTTCCTCTAGTTCTTAAATGCTTCCCCCC